CAGGTCGCTGCAGGCAAACTGTCACGTGACTTGAGAAAGACAATATCCAGGGCCTTTATTTCCACACTCATGAAATGGATATGATAAAAGTACCTGGCTTTACAGGGTAATTATGAAGATGAAGTAGGTTAACACATGTGACGTACTTGGAACACTGCCTAGTACCTTGATAATTACTCTAATGTTAGCTGTTACCATTATTGGAGCATTTAAATGCTGTGACAAGTCCTTTAGTTGCTATTTGCATTTTGCTTACATTCTTTTTTGAGGAAGATTTTATTGGCCAACATTCCGTGTGTATACTCTTCTATAGTCACAGTTTGAGCAGGAGAGAGGTATGTGCTCAAAGTACCTGTTAGAGCTTTTAGCTATCTGCTTTATGAGACCTTTAACCAATTGCTGTAAAAAAAATTCTTTTGCTTAAAAATCTGTCCAGGTCCCAGGAACCTATCTGGATCTCTACTACCACACCATAGTTACCTGTCCCTATATTCAGTTTTATCAATAGTTACTGTTCTATGTGGTCTTTTCAAAACAAAATGTATCAAACACTCACCTCATTTAGTAACATTCACTTAACAGCAAGAGGCTGAAAGTTCATGGGAGTAATATTCAAATTCCCCAAAACTCCGAAGAAAATGCAGCACTTCTAGATCTATGCAATAACAATGGATCTGTAGCTACTAATTATTACAAATTATGTAGCTTAGATTTGGCATTCCAAACCCATTTTCTAGCAACTTCTGTATTATACTTCTCCACATTTCTCCATACCTCATTGTAGTCCCTATGAATAGTAGGCTTTGCTGCCTCTTCCACTATCCTCCCCCTAGCAGGTCATAGCTCAAAAAATTTGAAGTGTGGTGGATCAAGCTACCTACTCTCTCTTTGGTCTTCACTGCTACTTGTTTTACACTGACTTATAAAGCATCTACCTCAGCAGCTTTAACAAAACTTCTCCACATCTCCAAAGATGACACACGTCTTCTCACCCTAGCACAGTTGCTTGCAATCTAAAGTCAGCAAAGCCCTCCTGCAAAAACTTTTGTCCTGGTGTCCTCAACTTATGACAATTACTTGGGGGAAATTCTCAGTATGTGAAAAGGTAACTTCCTTCTGGGTAAATACCTCATCTTAGTACCTAACAAAGAGTAGGCACTTAGCAAAGCCTACTAAATGCATGTAAAACTGCTGAAATGTTTATTTAGGTAAGCAATCTCATTATCACCAAATCAAAATACCTCCTGTCACTTCAGAGCCTCAGCAGCATTCTCACCATGCTACAGTGCCTGAAATCAGACTCAGGATCCAAATCAGTGTGCTGGAAGGAGGGCTCCACCGCCAATCAAAAGCTCTGTAACTATAACTATGGGCAGAAGCTACAAGGACTCTCCTCTCCCTCCCTCCTTCCCTCCCTCCCTCTCTCTCTATCTCTCTCTCTCTCTCTCTCAACTTGCTATCTATAAAAACAGACATGCTTTCATTAAAAATTAAATGTTAGTTCCTCTATAAGAGCTCAGAAGAGTGCTTACAATATAACAAGTACTTCATAAACGTGAGCTAACATTTTCATTAAAGTCCACACCGTAAGCTGAAATTCGTTTCTTGGCTTTTTCGACCTTGCCCATCATCACTCTCTTCCTCTCTGACCTTCGCAGTTGTCTCTGTCACTACTGCTCCCTAAACATGAAGGCTGAACTCAAGACCAATCCTTACTGCTTTTCTTAGCTCTCACTTTGGAATTTAACCCCTATGACTTAAAAGTACTGTCGCTGTGTGGATAAGTGACTGCTCTCTCCTGGGCACCAACTTTTCCAGCCATACACAATACAAATGCAAGTTATCCTCATCGTAACAACAAATATTCTGAGGAATTGGGAAATGATATTAGCCTCAACAAGTATAACTCTAAGATGAGCAGGCAATGCTTCACAGGGTGGAGGGGCGGGGAGGGTGTCCAACGCCTCCTGTTCAGAGGCGGGGTTCTGAAGGTGCCTGGATTGCAGGAGCTATACTCAGCAGTGGATTAGTCCACTGATGACTTTTTAGCTAAAGGTGGTGTTAGGAGGTGAGGCCTGTCAGAAGAAGCAGGTTCCTGGAGACATGACCTAGAAGGTGTATCTCCCTCCAAGCACCTCCCTTCTCTCTCTCTGCTTCTGGGCTCCTGCGATGTGAGCAGATTTTCCTCTGCTATGCCCCTCTGCCATGCCATTTCTGCTGTGCATCCAGCCAAGCATAGACTGAATCCTTTTAAAAATTATGACAAAGTGAACTCACTTCCTCGTGTAAATTGTGGTTGGTGCATCTTGGCAATGAGGAAGGTGATGAAGACACACCCTTAATCACATTAAAGGTATTTATAAATCAAAAGAAAAAGGATAATAGTTGACAGTGGCCTAGAATGAAACAGGAAGAGATGCACCCTAGGTTCCAGATCTCAGGACAACACGAAGCCCAGGCAGAGGAAGGAGAAAGGGGTCTGAAGATGGGCTCTTGCACTGAATTCAAAAGATTTCCACAGGTCCTTAAGGTGTGCCAAACAATCAACCTGACTCAAACAAAAATTCACTTCCTTTAACTCCATTTGTTCTGTGCCCATCCATGTTTTGCCATTTGCTATAGAAATCCTTTTCATGGGTCAGGTTCCATAAAAGCCTGTCTCCAAAGAAGATGTTTTAATTATATGGAATACATGTTTACTTCCAATCCTTGTTATACCGATTTTTTAAGATGAGTTAAACTCCTGGTTATGATTTGGGTTTCTACATATCTAAAATATATGCAGGCAAAATACTGATTTTGGTCAAAATATTTTCTGCGATGGGTGCATTTTACATTGTGAAATAACTGATTACAAGCATGGATTCTGAAGCCAAATGTCTGAATGCAAATCCTACTTCACATCTGTGACAATGGACAAATTCCCTGATCGCCTTATGCCTCTTTCCTTATCCACACAATGAGGATAACGGTAGTATACACCTCACTGGGGCATCATAAGGAATAAAAGAGAAGATATGCAAAGTGAGTAAAATCATGTCTCACATATCAAGTGCTTAGTCAATAGTAACTACTGTTTTCTTAAGTCTCACATGTATTTTGCTGACTGAATTGGTTTGTGTCCTGGACCCAATCCAGGTTCCATCAGGTGATTTTCTCATCAGCTCCAACCTTTCCCTTCAACTATGAGTACTTGACTTGAAGACTGTAATGAGCGCTAGAGAAATTTTATATAAAACTGGGTGTAAAGGACAGCATGTATTTTTCAAAGCAAAGCAGCCATGGCTTTCATAAACTCAATAAGTACATGACCTAAAATTGATTTTTAAAAACAAAACAAAACAAAACAAAACCTTCTGCCTTGACAATACCACACTTTTTTTGTTTTTAACATGGTATAATATTACAAGTCTTTCTCTGCAATGCTATTCTAGCACATTTCCTATTTTCAACACTGCCAGGTTACTTATCCAAAAGAACTGTAACACTACCACCACTTTCCCTGCTCAAAAACATGGTTACTGTTTAAAGTCCAAACAGCTTAGCTGAGCATTCACGCTTCTATGACTCAGCCGTAATTCACCTTTCCAAGCTTGTACTCCATTCTCCTCCATGAATGGTCCTAAAGGAGTCACATTCAAGAATTCAATGCAACTTTCTTCCATAGCACATGCTACTTTATGTACAACACCTTTTCACTACTTTCTATCCATCTCCAATATTACTTCCTTCAGTGAGTCAAGCCCTTCTTCCAAAAGTCACTGTGTTTTATACACAGCAGGACTGTTTACGTGGGTACAAACTGCCAACCATCAAAGTTACTAAACCTCAGCATTACTGACATGTCAAGTAGGATCATTTTTTTCTTGTAGAGGGCCACAATATGTAATGCAGGATGTTTAACAGTCCCCTTAGCCTCCAAACATTACCAAATATCCATACCTGGTTGGCAACCTCTCATATAATATAACAAATATTTAATTTGCTCTGCTAAATAGTAAATTCTTTAAAGACAGGGACCATGACCTTTTTTTATAGTCTCAATATAACTGAATACAGAACTTTATGAAAGATTTAAATATATGTTTTCTGCTAACTTTTCAAAAACTATAAGCAGAGCATCCTAACCTATTACATTTCTACATATTGATTAAACTTGGATCACTAAATTCTATCCTTAAGTAAAGCTTTTAAAAGGTAAAAACTCCTGTCACCCTATAATTTTCAACAAATACTATATTACAGTTGTACTCCCAAAAGAGATAGTTTTAGCATTATAAAGGTTAACAAGTGAACTTCCAAACACATAATAGCATTCCACCACAGAAGACTTATAGACAAGTAACAGAAACAATCTCCTTTTCTCTTCAATTAGCCTGTTTTCTAAACAATATGTAGTGTTATTATCTAAATCAGATGCTTAAAAACAGTCCAAGTCCAGAGAGTGACTGGAGCAAGTCCCCCCCGCCCACTTTTTTTGGCACTGGGGGAATCAAACTCAAGTCCTTGTGCTTACAAGGCAGGTGGCAGAAACAATGAGCTAAATCCTCAAACCTGGAGCATATTTTCAATCCACAGCTCTTTATAGACAGGGTGAAGTTTCCCTAGACCTGTGATTTAAAACCCTTGCTACACAGTAGAATTTCCTGCCGAGTTAAAAAGAACAAATTTCTAGGCTTCCCTCTAGACCAATTAAATCAGAATCAGGGAAGAGTGCTAAAGATTACTGGCCCCTCCAAATCCCCAGTAGATTCTAGTGTGCAGTCAGAGTGGAGAGCCACTGCTCTAGAATGGTTTACAACCTCATGTACCTTGGCAGTTAATGTAAAAAAAGCTATCTCCTAAGAAGACCTTATACCCTATGAAATGGCTGGAACTTATTTTCTAACTTGCTCAATGTGAGTCCAGCATGTGAATACAGTACTTATCTTGAATTAAAAGAATTGGTGTTTTTTCCCTAGGGTTAGACCTAACTAAAAAGCTCGTAACTAGGGACTTACATTCCTCTTTACTTGGTGAAGTTACATTCAGTTCTGTCGGAAGCGGCTGCTGGCTAGGACTTAGAGTTGGCATGGTTATCGAGGTATTGTTGTTGTCACTGGTGGTCTCTTCAGAAAACAAATCGGGTTGGCTGTTACTTGTACTTGGAGTGGAATCATCGTCTGGTTGCTTCTTCTGAAAATCTGAAAAGGAGTAAGAAAATCAGTTTTCTGAATATTAAGAGATAATGTAAATTGGTATAAAATTAAATTCAAGAACAGCAATCATAAAGACTCATATGAATGACTAAAAAAGCACAGAAGTAAAGCACGGGTCAAAACAAACATTGGTAAGGGGTGATTAGAATTAAAGTTTTCCAAAGTTTTTGTATTGTTCAGAAGAATGACAGACAGTGAATATGAGACTCTGAAAAGTCAGTGATATGTTAAATTTCAAGAGTAATTCATGTAAGGAAAAAAGAAAAGTTGTTCAAACCAACAGAAGACAGATCAGCAGCCACCATTGTTCAAGCGCCGGGAGGTAGCCTGGGCCCCCATCCACCGCGGGAAGGAGAGCCACGCCTGCTCCCGATCCAGCCGCCATTACTCAAGCGCCATCACTCAAGCGCCGGGAAGGTAGCCGCGCAGGCACCCATGAAAACCCATAAGCCCGCCCCCCCACTCTCAGATCTCCTGACTGTGCCAGTCTTTGGACCCACTCTGCAGAGGCAGAGGTGGTCATCAAGGGTATTTTTCTGAGTTCCCAACTTTGAACATCTTTAAAGAAAGGGCGTGGGAAACCTGTAATAGAATGTTGTGGAGTTCAACCATTCAGAAGGTTGGGGAACTCAATCTGGGC